CCAAAATATTACCTTGAATATATCCCTCCTAAATTTAGAAACCATCTAAAGAATAGATTTGATGTATTAAATACCAGTGACCAAAACCAGAGGAATCATGGGATGACACCAAGAACATCATCTATGAAGAAAGTGAGAGGTCATTACAAAGACAGGAAAGGAAGAATAAACCAAAATGGAAGTCAGAAGAGATTCTGAAAGTTGTCCTTGAATAGATAGTAGCTAAAGCAAATGGAAGAAATGACAAGACAAGAGCTGAACAGAATATTTCAAAGAGCAGCTCAATAAGACAAAGTTGATTATTATAATGACATACATGTACAAAGACCTGGAGTTAGAAAACCAAAAAGGAAGAACATGCTTGACATTTTTCAAGCTTAAAGAACTAAAGAAAAAAATTTAAGCCCTCAGTTGCAATATTCAAAGATTCTATGGGCAATATATTGTGATGCAGGAAACATCAAAAGATGGAAAGAATACACGGTCACTGTACCAAAAAGAATTGGTTGATGTTCATCCACTTCAGGAAGTGATATATGATCAAGAACAAACGGTATTGAAGGAAGAAGTTGAATCTTCACTAAAGGAAGTGACATAGAACAAGGCTCCAGAAATTGACAGAATACCCATTGAGATGTTTCAACAAATGGATGCCTCACTAGAGGCACTCACTCGGCTATGCCAAGAGATTTGGAAGACAGCTACCTAGCCAACTGACTGGAAGATATCCATATTTGTACCCATTCCAAAGAAAGGTAATCCCACAGAATGTGGAAATTATCAAACAATATCATTAATATCACATACAAGTAAAAGCTTACTGAAGATAATTCAAATCTGGTTGCAGCAGTATATTGATAGAGAACTTCCAGAAGTGCAAGCTGGATTCAGAAGAAGATATGGAATGAGGGGTATCATTGCTGATGTCAGATAGATTTTGGCTGAAAGCAAAGAATACCAGAAAGATGTTTACTTGTGTTTTATTGACTATGCAAAAGCATTCCATTTTGTTGATCATGACAAATTATGGATAACACTGAGAATAATAGGAATTCCAGAAAACTTAACTGTACTCATGAGGAACTTGTACATAGACCAGCAGGCTGTCAATAGAATAGAACAAGAGGACACCGTATGGTTTACAATCAAGAAGGGAGTGTGTCAGTGTTGTATCCTTTCACCATACTTTTTCAATCTGTATGCTGAGTAAATAATTTGAGAAGCTGAAGTATATGAAGAAGAATGTGACATCAGGATTAGAGGAAGACTCAATAACAACCTGTGATATGCAGATGACACAACTTTGCTTGCTGAAAGTGAGGATCACTTGAAGCACTTACTGATGAAGACTGAAGACTACAGTCTGCAGTATGAATTATATCTCAACAAAAAGAAAACAAAAAATCCTCACAACTGGACAAATAAGCAGCATCACTATAAATGGAGAAAAGATTGAAGTTGTCAAAGATTTTTCACATTACTTGTTTCTGCAATCAACACTAATGGAAGTAACAGTCAAGATATCAGATGTCATGTTGCATTGGGCAAATCTGCTGCAAAGACTTCTTCCAAGTGCTGAAGAGCAAAAATATCTCCTTGAAGACCGAGGTGCGCCTGACACAAGCCATGGTATTTTCAATCATCTCATATGCATGTAAGAGCTGGACAATGAATAAGGAAGACTGAAGAAGAGTTGATGCTTTTGAGTTGTGGTGTTAGCAAAGAATTTTGAAAATACCATCGACTGCTAAAAGAACTAACAAATCTGTCCTGGAAGAAGTGCAGCCAGAATGCTCCTTGGAAGCGAGAATGGTCAGACTTCATCTCACCTATTTTGGTCATGTTGTCAGAAGGGACTGTTCCTTGGAAAAGCATGTCATGCTTGGTAAAGTAGAGGGTCAATGAAAAAGGGGAAGGCCCTCAATAAGATGGATTGACACCATCGCTGCAACAAAGGCCCAGGTATAGCAAGGATTGTGGGGCTGGCACAGGACCGGGCAGTGATTCCTTCTGCTGTACATAGGGTCACTATGAGTCAGTGAGGACTTCACAGCACCTAACAAAAACAACAACTGTATTATCTGTTTCAAATCAGGAAAGGGGTCAGGGTCATCAAGATTATTCCCTTAAAGTATCACCTAATGTACTCTAGCCAAAAGTACCAATATCCTTAAAACGTTTTCAGAAAAGTCATTAAAATCTACGAAGGAATTATTTCCCTATATTGAAGGAAAACTATTCTTTACCTGGGCCTGAAATGCTGTACAGCTCTAGTTGATAAACATCAAGAGATGAAAAAATGAGTGGAGAGAATAATAAACTAGATATATGAAGAAAATTAAGTTTGAAGGAAAATGTGATGAAATAAAAAAAAAAAATCTTGACTAGTTAGGGCATGACGATCTGGTTTTTATGAAATTTCAATATTTGAGGTCCACATGACACTTCTTGAAACATGGAGAAGGTCAGCTGAAGGCAAAAAATGCCATTTGACATCACAGGAAATTACTAGCCCACAGAAGTATTGCTAGTGGGAAGTATAATTATGGATAATTATAGATTGAATTGAAGAAGAACATGGCATCAGGATTGGAGGAAGACTCAGTAACAACCTGCCATATGCAGATGTATTAGTTTTCTAGTGCTGCTATAACAGCAATACAAGTCAATGGCTTCAACAAACAGAAATGTATTCTCTTATATTTTAGGATATTAGAAATTTGACTTCAGAATGACTGCTCTAGGGGCTTGGTGGAAGCCCCTGGATCTTAGGTTTCAACTCTGCTTTCCAGGCTCACTGGAGCAAGCTGAAGGCTTCTCCTGACTGATGCAAGTGCTGGCTGCTGAGACTGATGAATCCAAGATTGGCGTAAAATGGCAGATTGTTGGCTCACAGGCTGCAAAGGCAACAATCCCAAGATCACCAGGCAACAACAGGCCGCTTTTTCAAGCCCAGAAACTGGAGATGAAGATTTAGGACCCAAATGAAAGATCCTTGCCGTATATACTGGAAGCGCACTCCAAAGGCAACTCCCCTTTAATTGATTAACTGCTCACAGCAAATTCCACCATGGAGGTGGTTAAACTCATCACCAATCTCATCATGGGGAATAACTATATCCAGCTGCCAAGCCACTGACAATCACAGCCCAGCTAAGCTGACACACAACCTTAACTACAACACCAGATGACACAACCTTGCTTACTGAAAGTATAGATGACTGGAAGCACTTAGTGTTGTTGTTGTTGTTGTTATGTGCCTTCGAGTCGTCTATGACTCATAGTGATCTTACGTACAAAAGAACTAAACACTGCCTGGTCCTGTGCCAGCCTCACGATCCCTACTATATCTGAGCCCATTGCTACAGCCACTGTATCAATCCATCTTGTTGAGGGCCTTCCCCTTATTTGTTGACCCTCCACTTTACCAAGCATGACATCCTTCCCCAGAGAATGGTCGCTTCTGGCCACATGACCAGAGTGGGTGAGATGAAGTCTGGTCATTCTTGCTTACAAGGAGCATTCTGGATGCACTTCTTCCAAGACAGATTTGTTAGTTCTTTTAGCAGGTACTTTCAGGATTCTTCACCAACAGCACAACTCAAAAGCATCAATTCTTCTTCAGTCTTCCTTATTCATTGTCCAGTTCTCACATGCATATGAGGCAATTGAAAATGCCATGGCTTGGGTTAGGTTCATCTTAGTCTTCAAGGAAATATCTTTGTACTTACTGATGAAGATCAAAGATTGCAGACTCCAGTATCGATTATACCTCAATATATTGTTGTTGTTGTTGTTATGTGCCGTCGAGTCAGCCCTGACTCATAGCGACCCCTCCTTGGGTTTCCGAGGCAGTATCACTACGGAAGTAGGATTGCCCAAACTTCCTTCCGAGGAGTGGAACAAAAATCCTCATAACAGGACCAATAAGCAACATCACAATAAATTGAGAAAAGATTGAAGTTGTCAGGGATTTTATTTTACTTGGATCCACAATCAACATCCATGATAACAGCAGTCAAGAAATCAGATGTTGTATTGCACTGGACAAATCTGCTGCAAAAGATCTCTTTAAAGTGTTAAAGAGCAAAGATGTCACTTTGAAGACTATGATGTTCCTAACCCAAGCCTTGGTATTTTCAATCAACTCATATACATGTGAAAGCTGGAAAAAGAATAAGAAAGTCTGCAGAAGAATTGATGCCTTAGAATCGCAGTGTTGGCAAAGAAAACTGGAAATACTATGGACTCCCAGAAGAACAAACAAGTCTGTTCTGGACTAAGTGCAACCAGAATGCTCCTTGGAAATGACAATGGCCAGACTTTGTCTCACCTACTTTGGTCATGTTGTCAAAAGGCACCATTCCCTGGAGAAGGATGTCATGTTTGGTAAAGTGGAAGGTCAGCAAAAAAGTAGAAAAACCCTCAATGAAATGGATTGAAACAGTAGCTGTAACGATAGATTCAAGCAAAGCAAGGATTGTGAGGATGCCAGAGGACCAGGCAGTGCTTCGTTCTGTTGTTATAGGATTGATATGAGTCTTACCTGAGTCAATGTCACCTACCAACAACAACAAAAATCAGAGATTGATCATCCATTTATCTACAACTCTTTCCTCTCTTATGTTCTGTTTTGCCTGTGCTATGCTTCCTTATTATTTTCAAAAAATTTAAGCAATATATTCTTTATAGTTACCATCAGCATCAGAATGGATGACATCCACAAATGCTGCATCAGTGTAATCTAATCTGCCATATGATGGTTTTCCAGAGAATTTTGGTCCAGCAGGGTCAAGACCTGAAATGCAAGAAAGAAACTCTCAGTCCATTACTCAAGTCTTATTACAGTGTTTACTAGATTTCAGGCTTGTATTTTTATTACATTATATACATAATAAATCTATACAGTTTTAATTTAAATCTGTATAGAAATGTATCTAAAAACAAAAGAAATTTGATGAATAGCAAGCATCTTCATTATTTGAATAATAATAACCTCAACAAAATATTGAATAATAAATAACTACTACTCCATTTGAGAGGAAAAAAGGATAATGAATACTTTCTTGCTTGAACCCTGTGCCTTAACAGTTCCTCACAAATCCATATACAAATCTAGCATGATATTCAGGTGCCAAATGGCAATATGGATTGTGGGGAAAATATTATCTATCATTCACTTTTAACTAAAGTTTCACACACCTTTAAGAAAATATAAGTTTAAATTACATGAATTGTGGATATTATTTCTGTAGTATTTTAAATTCTAAATAAAAATTCTAGGCTCATGACTTCTGGAGAGCATTAAATAAATGGGTGTGGCTATGGGAAGGGCTGATAAGATTCTATACTTTGAGAACATCTATGTAATGAAAAAAAGCAATCATCCTTAAAAGGCTTATAATCTATCAGTCTAGTATTTAGGCCCACAAAAATCATGTTATTTTCTAACCTGAGACCAGAAGAACTAGATGGTGCCCAACTACTATTACCAACTGTTCTGACCAAAGTAATGATAGAAGGTCCTAGAAAATATGAAAGGCAAATGTAGAGAAAAATTCTGATTCATAAAAAAATGCCAGACCTACTGAGCCAACAAAAACTAAAGCTACCTTTGAGACTATCACTCTAAGATAACCTTCAAACTTGGAATTGAAGCTATTTCTGGAGATCACCATTCAGCCAAATAATATATTGGATTATAAAATAACCAATATCCCCATGAGTAATGTGTTTTCTAAATAATCAATGATATGAGATCGAACAGGCAACATTTACCTAAAAGCAAAGATGGAAGCCAAGGAGCAGAAGGGAAGCTAGATCAATTGAAACAGAACAAACAAATGGAAATAATGAAAATGCTGACATCTTGTAATCAAATTTATACAAAAATTTTTAAATGTGAACCTAGTTTGCTGTGTAAAATTTCACTTAAAACACAATAAAATATTTTGGGGAAAAAAAAGATTTTTAAGAGGTAATATATAGTGTTGTTCATCTCAGGTTCTTTTATTCCTATTTTATTTAATTGAGTTAACTGAATGAGTCAGAATCTTTTCTCTTCCTATAAATTATTCTAATGTAGAAACTCCACATTTACTGGCCCTTTAAAGCTGATTGATTTCTGGATACCTGGGGCCATTCAAACTGGACGTATATGTGACTACAAATACTGTTATGGACTGAATTGTGTCCCTGAAAAATATATGTTGAATTTCTATCCCTGGGACCTGTGGAGAGGAGCTCTGGTGGCAGACTGGTTAAAACATTTGGCTGCTAACCAAAAGGTTGGCAGTTCAAACCCACCAGCTGCTCTGTGGGAGAAAGATGAGGCAATCTGCTTCATAAATATTTATAGCCTTGGAAACCCTATGGGGCAGTTCTATTCTGACCTATAGGATCACTATGAATGACAATTAACTCAATGTCAGTGGGGTTGGTTTGGGTTTGGTAGCTGTGGATGTGATCTTATTTGGAAATAGTGTTTTCTTTTATTATGTTAATGAGGTCATACTGGAGTAAGGTGGACCAAACTTAATCACATATGAATTATGAAAGGAGCAGGATAGACACAAAGACACACAGAAGGGAGATGTCATATGAATACAAATACACACTGCAGGTGCATCTACAAACGCAAGAAATCCAAGCAGTGCTGGCTAATAAAAGCTGAAATAGACAAAGAAGGACCTCTACCTAGAGCCACACCCTGAATTTGGACTTTTGGGCTCCTGAACAATGAGAAAATAAATTATGTTCTTTAAAGCCATCCACTTGTGGTATTTGTTATGGTAGCATCAAGTAACTAAGACACACACCTTAATACAGAATTACCACTTCTTGAAATTGAGTTACTGGAGTGGGTGAAAAAAGAAGTTTTTGCCTGCTAGGGATCTTTGTGCAAATCTTTGCTCATCTGTTCCTAACTTCTCACCTTGAGACATTCATTCAGTTAACTACAGTTTTTAATATAAGCATAACAGGAATAATATTAAAGCTAATGCAAATAAATACAGGTGTGCATCGCTTAACATTCTCAATGTTGTTGTTGTTGCTGTTGTTATGTGCCATCGAATCAGACCTGACTCATAGCGACCCCCCCTTGGGTTTCCAAGGCAATATCACTACGGAAATAGATTGCCCAACCTTCCTTCCGAGGAGTAGCTGGTGGGTTTGAACTGCCAGCTTTCTGGTTAGCAATCAAGTGCCTTAGGCACTATGCTACCAGAGCTCCATAACATCCTCATGTATTGAACATCCTCAATACATTCTGCAAAATAGGATGTTGTGCCAACACCATATTAAAACCTATGGGAGCCCACTTCCAGTTGTTCTCGTTGCTGCCGCTCTCCCTTCTTCTGATGCTGGAGCTGTTGGTGGAGGCTAGAGGAAAGGGTGCTGGCAGTGGCAGCAGCTGAGAGGTCCACAGCAGGAGCAGAGTGAGAGGGAGTAAATGAGGAGCGAATAGAGCATGTCCAAGCAGCAGAAGTAGCCTGAGCCCCACAGATACTCCCTGTCCACTGGACAAAGCCCAAGAAACATACCCAGAGACATTTCCTCTTCCTCTCCTGCCTAAATCCCACCAGTGGTCCAGTGCTGCAAGCATCTGGGTTTAGAGTCTTTAAAACCATTAAGGGGGAATAATACTGGAATACTCCTTAGAAGCTAGAACGGCCACACTTTGTCTCACCTACTTTGATCATGTTGGTGGAAGATACCAGTCCCTGGAGAATGATACCATGCTTGTTAGAGAGTCAGTAAAAAATAGGAAGACCCTTAATGAGATGAACTGACACAGGGGCTACAAGGAAGGACTTAAGCAAAGCAAGGACTGTGAGGATGGTGCAGGACTGGGTAGTGTTTTGTTCTGTTGTATACAGGGTCATTGTGAGTCACAGCTGACTCAACGGCACCTAACAACAATAAACAAAAGGAGAGCTGCTTTCACTTCAGAAGGAAAAATAAACAAACAAACAACCTTATGAGACAAAAGACGTATATACGGTCAGATATTTTCCGAACAGATGTTAAGACATGTGTACCTGTATGTTAGTCACTGCACCACCCAGACTTCTTATAATAATATAATCTGTTGCTGTCAAGCTGATTCCAATTCATAATGATTTTATAGGATAGAGTAGAACTGCCCTACTGGGTTTCCAAGATTATAATCTTGATAGAAACACATTTTTCCCCTTTGGAGTGGCTGGTGGGTTCCAACTGCCAAACTTTCAGTTAGCAGCTGAGTGCTTTAATCACAGCATACCAGACAGAGCTCCTCATATAATAATAGCCACTGTATACTGGATATTTACTTGTGCCAGCTACCTTGATAAGTGCTTTACTAATGTCCTATTTAATATTCACAATAGTCCTGTAGGATTTTTGAAATCGTCAGCAATCTACAAAATGTTCATCTCTGTCTCTTCTCTCTCTCTCTATTTAGCTGAAGTCTTGATCATCCTTTATTATTGCTTGAAATTACTACAGATCTTTGATGGATATAGAGGGTTTCAATGGTTTTTTAAAAAAGCAAAGTTGGTTGGGGAGGGATGTTATCTTTCTACTTCTAAGATCATTGCCCCTCCTAGAGGGAAGCAAAAAAATCCATGTCAGCATTATTTGGATACTGAACTTTCTAGTTGCAGTGATTGTTAAGAAAATACGGGGGAAAATGGGACCAAGACCCTTCAAATCTCAGATAAATCAACATTTTCTCTCCTAGCATCAAAGCAAAATACCTAATAGAATTTGAATAAAGCAAAGTTTTTAAAAATTAAGCTTGGTTATATTTTCAGTCAATACATGCTAAGTCAGTTGATACACAAATATACATTGTCATAATAAAGGTTGTATGCCAACTTTGCTGGGTTATGATCCTAAAAGGTTTAGCTGTTATGATGTAGTCATCCCCCATGATGACACAATATAACGTAATCACCTCCACAATGAGATCTGCTACAAGCAGCCAATTGGGTGAAAGGGAGTTTCCTTTAGGGTGTGGCCTGATTCCATTATATACAAAAAAAGTTCTGGCGAAGCTGTCTGGCTTTTTGCTCAACATGAGTCCTGTATCCAGCTCATCATCTTCTGACCTCTTGTTCTTGGACTTGAATCATTGTCTTGCCAGCCATATTGCCTGCCAATCTTGGAATTGCTGCCTTTGCAGCCTGTGAAGCATCCAGTTTGACATTTGACACATGGACTTGGGACTTGTCAGCCTCTACAACTGCATGAGCCATTTTCTTGAGATAGATGAATTTCTCTCTCCTCTCTTCTGTCTCTGTGCCTCTCTGTCTCTCTGGTATATATGTTGTTGTTACATGCTGTGGAGTCGGACCTGACTCATAGTGACCAAGGCAGTATCACTACAGAAGTGGTATATATATAATATATATTAAATAATTTTATATTATATTATATATAATATATAATTATATATATTATATAATTATATATATCATGCACTATATTAATTATATAATATATATTATATATAATATAAGCTTCACTGATTTTATTTCTCTAGAGAACCCAGCCTAAAGACCTATATGTAACATGCACATATTATATATAATGTAATATACACATGTTAGATAATACATAAATAAAGATTTCTATTTAATGGATTTATTTAGTAAAATTTCCTTAGAAGTACTGAAATAATAAGTGTTCTTAAAATTCGGGTTAGAGTGCAGAAATATATCTTTCCTTCCATTTCCATATGGGTAACATAATCTCTGTTAAGAACTGAAAAATACTCTAAAAAGTCTAACAACAACAAAGAAGGACTAACACTTGAATGTAATATAGAAATACATAAATGCATGAGTGTAATTTGTACTGCTTAATTATTTCAACCGTTAAATTTTAAGTATATTAACTTCTGATGTCTAAAAGTGGGCTAAAGCATTAATTCTGTCAAAAATAATTTACCTGTTATTCTTCCAAGTTGACCTTGAAATATCTTTCCAACAAATCCACTAATATGAGCACCTAAGCTCACACCTATGAAATGAAAAGTGTCAAGAGACGCTCCATGCTTCTGCAATTGAAAATGCACTGTTATGATTTTGAATTAAGGTCACAACAAATTATGTTTCATACACTAGTATTCTAAAATTCATGATCTTTTCTGGCTTAATCAATATCTGGGAAGTGGGATAGGTCTTTGTAATTTCAAAACAGCTATACATTTCTTTAACTTTTGCCATAAGATGTGTGATATTGTGCCATTAAAAAATGTCATTGAAATTTATTTAAAAACTTTTAAATATTATATGAAATACAATATTTAGCATAACTTGTATGCAAACTAACATATTTAATTCCACCACTCATCTGTTAGTATGTGATACAGTGGTGGCTTGTGTATTGCAATGATGCTGGAAGCTATGAAACTAGTATTTCAAATACCAGCAAGATCACCCATGGTGGACAAGTTTCAGCAGAGCTTCCAGTCTAAGACAAACTAGGAAGAAAGACCTGGCCATGTACACGTCTGAAAAAAAAAAAAAAAAAACCCACTGAAAATCTTATGAATAGCAGTGAAATATTGTATTATAGAGTGCCAGAAAATTAGCCCCTTAGGTTGGAAGGTACTCAAAATATGATGGGGGAATAGCTGACTCCTCAAAATAAAGTTGACCTTGATGATGTGGGTGGAGTAAAACTTTCAATATCTTCATTTGCTGATGGGACAAAACTCAAAATGGGAAGAAACAGCTGCAGACATTCATTAATAATCACAACATGGAATAATCTGAAGTTGTCAAAATTGAAAAGGAATGCATAAAGATCAATATCCTAGGCATTAGTGAGTTGAAATGGACTGGTATTGGCCATTTTGTATCAGACAATCATATGGTCTGCTATGCCTGGCATGACAAATTAAAGACAAATAATGTGGCATTCATTACCACAAAGAACAATTCAAGATCTATCCTGAAGTCCAACGCTGCCTGTGATAGGATTATATCCTTATGCCTCCAAGGAAGATACTCACTGCAAACATTTGTAAACACAAAAAATGTCAACTACACACATGACCTTGCCACATCAAATTGACTACATCTTAAGGAGCTCTGGTGGCATAGTGCCTAAGGCATTTGATTGCTAACCAGAAGGTTGGTGGTTCAAACCCACCAGCCACTCCATGGAAAGAAAATGGGGCTATCTACTTCCATAAAGATTTATCATCTCAGAAACCCAAATAGGGTTCTTCATGATTTGGAATCAACTTGATGGCAGTGAACTTGAGTTTGAGTTTTTTGGGTTTTTTTTTTTTTTTTTTTGGTTGAAGGAGATGATGGAGAATCTAAATATTATCTGTCAGAACAAAGCAACGGGCTGATTGTGGAAGAGACCACCAATTGCTGATATTCAAGTTTAAGTTGAAGCTAAAGAAAATTAAAACAAGTTGACAAGAGCCAAAACATGACCTTGAGTATATCTCACTTGAATTTAGAGATCATCAAAGAAGAGATTTGATGCATTGAATGCAAGTCACCAAAGACCAGATGACTTGTGGGATAACAAGAACATCACACATTAAAAAAAAGCAAAACACCCTTAAAATATAGGAAAGGAAGCAAAGACCAGAATGAATGTAAGAAGAGATGCTGAAACTAGCTCCTGAATGGAGAATAGATAAAACAAATGGAAGAAATGATGAAGTAAAAAAGTTGAAGAGAATATTTCAAAGAGAAGCTTGGGAAGACAAAGTAAAGTATTATAATGAAATATGCAAAGACCCAGAGTTACAAAATCAAAGGGGAAGAACATACACAGGATTTCTCAAGCTGAAACAACTGAGAAAAAGTCAAAGCTTAATTGCAGTATTGAAGACTCCATGGGCAAAATATTGAATGATACAGGAAACATCAAAAGACAATGTAAGGAATGCAGAGTCACTGTATCAAAAAAAATTTGTTTGATATTCAAACATTTCAGGAGATAACATATGATCAAGAACTAATTGTACTAAAGAATGAAGTCCAAGATACACTGAAGGAATTGGCAAAAAACTAGGCTCCAGGAATTAACAGAACATCCACCTAGGTGTTTCAACAAATGAATGAAGGGCTGGAGGCACTCACTCATTTACACAAAGCAATTTGGAAGACAACTACCCGGTGAAACAACTGGAAGATATCCATATTTTGGACTATTTCAAAGAAGGGTGATCCAACAGACTGTGGAGAATGTCAAAAAATATTGTTAATATCACGTGCAAATAAAATTTTGCTGAAGATAATTAAAAACATGGCAGCAGTACCTCAACAAGAAACTGCCAGAAATTTAAGCTGGATCCAAAAAAGGGTATGAAATAAAGTATATCATTGCAAATGTCAGATGGATCTTGGCTGAAAGTAAAGACTACTCCAACTCATAGCCACCCCTCCTTGGGTTTCCGAGGAATTATCACTATGGAAGTAAATTGCCCAACCTTCCTTCCTAGGAGTGGCTGGTGGCTTTGAACCACCAGCATTCTGGTTAGCAGTCAAGTGCCTTAGGCACCTACACTACCAGAGCTCCTATGCAAAGGCATTTGACTGTATCATATGTGTATCATAACAAGTTATGGATAAAATTGCCAAAACTCAGAATTCCAGAGCACTTAATCGTGCTCATGAGGAACCTATACATAGACTAAGAGGCAGCTGCTCAAACAGAATAAGGGGATATTGCATGGTTTAAAATCATATATGAAGAAGAACACAGGAGCAGGTCTGGAAGAAGACTCACTAACAACCTTGTTAGTGATATGCAGATGCCACAACCTTGCTTGCTGAAAGTGAAGCTGACTTGAAGTATTTATTGATGAAGATTAAAGACTACAGCCTTCAGTATGGATTATATCTCAACATCAGGAAAACAAAAATCCTCACAACTGAACCAATACGATAAATTGAGAAAAAAAAATGGAAGTTGTCAAGGATTTCATTTTACTTGGATCTTCAATCAATGCCTATGGAAACAGCAGTCAAGAAATCAAACAACGTATTGCATTGGGCAAATCTGTTGTAAAAGACTTCTTTAAAGTGTTAAAGATCAAAGATGTCACTTTGAAGATTCAATGGGTACCTGTCTCAAGCCATGGTATTTTCAATAGCCTCTTATACATGTGAGAGTTGAACAATGAATATGGAAGAACACTGAATTGATGCATTTGAATTGTGGTATTAGCAATATATATATATATATAGAGAGAGAGAGAGAGAGAGAGAGAGAGAGAGAATGTACCATAGACTGCTAGAAGAATGAACAAATCTTTCTTGGAGGAAAAAGAGCCAAATTTTCCATAGAAGCAAGAATGACCAGACTTTGTCTCATACTTTGATTACATTATCTGAAGGGATCAGTCTTTGGAGAAGGATCTCATGCTTGGTAAAGTAGAGGGTTAGCAATAAAGGGGAGACTCTCAAAAAGATGTATTAACATAGTGGCTGTGAGAATGGCTCAAGCATGGCAACGATTTTGTGGATGGTGCAGTGTTTCATTCTGTTGTAAACAGAATTGCCATGGGTCAAAACTGACTCAATGTTACCTAACAATAACAACAATGCTTTCAACTAGTCAATTAATTGTATAATAATAATGGTCATTGTATATTGGGTGTTTACTTTGTATCAGCTACCTTGATAAGTGCTTTATACTCCTTATATTTAATATTCACAATAATCTTATAGTAATATCTATTTATCTTATTACCTAAAAATATCCCTGCCACCTATTGAATGTTAAATAAATATGGTTCAATAAATATCCATTTTATCAAGGAAACTGAAGCTCAGAGGTTCATGGGTTGGCCAAAGTTACATAGGTAAAAAGTGGAAAAGATGGATTTTAAATCCAAGTCTGTTTGACTCTGAAATTTGTGCTGGTCTCCCTGTTTTATCTGATAAAATTTGTCACAAGTGGCAAAAAAGAAAAATCCTCATTTCAGAGAAGATGAAGCTCATGGAGTTTGAATTATTCCCCAGATCACAAGCTGAAAAGTGATGGAGTCAGTTCTTCCAAGTGACTCTTTGAACTTCTCATAGATTTGCTCCAGGGGGTACTATCAGCTTACTTTAGGGAGTGTTTCTACCACTGCACTACATGGAGCCAAAGTGTTCTAAATTTCTTTTTAATTTAAAATATCTTGAATGTATACTTGCATAACTTTAAAATATTAACTAGAGGTTCAAATTATTTCTTGTTTTATTTTCAATTGGATACTTGAGTTAATCATAAATTTTGGAAAGGTTTGAGTTTTATAAAAGCAGAATCTAAATAACACTCACATGCAGCTTATTTATATTGTACTCATTTGGAAGTTCCTTGATAAGTATTTTATGTTTCTGTAATGTATAATTTCCAGTTCCTGTTGAGTCACTTCTGACACATGGCAACCTCATGTGTGTCAGAGTAGAACTGTGCTGCATGGTGTTTTCATGGCTGATTTTTCAGTAGAGAGTCAGGTCTTTCTTCCAAAGTACCTCCAGGAGGATTCACCTACTTTTCAGTTAGTAGTACTTTTGGGAGCTCTGGTAGCATAGTGGCTAAGGCACTTGACTGCTAACCAGAAGGCTGACGATTCAAACCCACCAGCCACTCCCCGGAAGGAAGGTTGAGCAATCCTACTTCCGTAGTGATACTGCCTCGGAAACCCAAGGAGGGGTCGCTGTGAGTCAGGGCTGACTCGACGGCACATAACAACAACAACAAGTACTTTTCAGTGAGTAGTAAATGTTTGTACCACCCAGAGACTCCAGTCAGTCATTTGAGGTAGAGGTTTTTTTCTTTTTTTAAAGAAATTTAAAAGATTTAAAAATAAACTATATAAGTAAACTTTTAAAATTATATATTTAATAACAGTCATGTCTGGTCATAAAATTATTGATTTAGGGGGACAAATGAAAGATGGCTACATACATAAGTATATCATCAAAGCAATAATTCCTAATACTTATGGAAAAATATATTTTCTTTTATCACCACTTCATGTTATTGTCTAATACATTGTATATTAAATAACATGTATAATGTATAAATTTCCAAGACTTACCAAAAGTTTGCGAATATACCTAGTCAAAATTATAGCAACTTTTCTGGTATTTTTGACTGCTCTATTGTAAATTAAAGTTGTAGCACCACGGTTCCAGTCTACTACAATTATATTCATATCTTCTTTATTCAACAAAAGCCTTAGAAAGTTCTGAATCCATGATGGAGCAGAGCCTGTTGGTCTGTATCCATGAATAAGCCAAACTGTTTTCCTTTTTGTGTTGAAAAGAATGTTGAGTGTGTTATCTTGCTCAAACAGTGGCTTAGCACAATTTTGGTTATTTCTTGTATACATCATCAGAATTATCTCCATTCTGGGAATAAACAAATCTCTGAGGGAATCCTTTACACTTAACTGAGTGAATTCAAGACATGGTCTTTCATTCTCTGAAAAAAAAAAGAAAAAAAAGTAACTCAAACTGGTATGGGGATAGAATTGGATTCTGGTTACTGTTGCTAAAAGCAGAACTAGACTTGGTCAGACAAATGACAAAAGAGTTTGTATCATTAGCATTTCAGCATAATTTATTGAGCAATTACAAAGTGTAAAGTAGTACAATATAAATTTTTTTTGAATTGTTGTTGTTGTTGTTGTTTGCCGTCGAGTTGGCACCGACTCATAGCGACCCCTTCTTGGGTTTCCAAGGCAGTATCACTACGGAAGTAGGATTGCCCAACCTTCCTTCCAATGGAAAATATAAATAAAATGAAATTGTTTAAAAATTAAGGATTATTTATAATCTGTATGAAATATAAGAAAACTATACCAATAAATATGATTGAAATCATTAACATCATTAATAAAGCATTATGCACAATTGTAAAAGTAGATAATGATTATAAGTTTTAGCAGAAATATCACAGAAGAGTATATATATGCAGTAAGCATTAAAAAAAGTATATTTAGCCTTAACAGTGATCAAATAAATACAAATAAAAAGAATAGGTGTAATTTTTTTTAATCAAAGTCAATAAGATGAAAAAATCTATCCACTACTCAATGCAGTGAGCATAAAATATAAAAAGTTATTCATATATATGGATGCTGAGAGAATAAGTAAATACAACATTGTTCTGAAATTTCATACACAAAAAATACATAGACAATCTTAAAAATAGTATTTATTTTCTTTATTAAATTTACAATAATGAAATAAAAAATGTGTATTAAGTGCAAAGACATTATGCATGAGATAATTTATTATGGAACAAAATATATAATACTTTAAATATCATTATGACAGTATTCTAATCCATGTGTGTTATCTCTCTATCTATCTCTCTCTCTATATATATATATCTGTCCATCTGTCTTGATAGGAAAGCATGCTTGGTAATGTAGACAGTCAGCAAAAAAGGGGAAGACTCTCAACAAGATTGATTGACACTGCGGCTGCAATTATGAGCTCAAGGATAACAAAGATTGTGAGGGCGATGCAGGACCAGGCAGTGTTTTGCTCTGTTGCACATAGGGTCTCTGAGTCAGAACCAACTTGACAGCACCTAACAAAAACAACAATTACCTGTCTATATATCTGTCTTTCCATCCACCGCTCCATCCTTTCTAGAAGGAACTAGGATGGAAGATGAAAAAATGAAGCCAAAACAATATCAATAGTTATTACTAAGCAATAAAACAATGGCTACGTGATTTTCTTTCTCATATTTCTTAGATATTTTCAATTTTTGTCAAAAAAGCATATAATCTCAAAAGAGTGGGTATTTTTTTCTTTTTAATAAGAACATATTACAGATTCACACTGCTTCTGAAAGTTTAATTTGGTATGATATTTGAGGATCCAATCTGTCAAGGAATATAAAACATTTACAAGCATGTTAGTATATTGAGATGGAGATGAGATAGCATAATGCTAACATACTCCACCCAATCTCTCTACAACAGAGACCTGCAAAAACCAAGTGAAACAGATACAAAGATCCTGGAATTCTGAGCATCTAATGAGAAGGTGAACAGAGACCAATTGTTGCTCCTTGGATGGCCACTTGTAAGCTTTAAAGACCCCAGGCACTACAAAAAGAATCAGGAGGTAGAACAGAAGCACTAAATGTGTCATTAGGCCAGTTAGCTGGGATGTCCCATGAAAGCACAACCCTAAGCCTCCAAACCAAGGAACCAAATCCCATGAGGTGTTTGGTTGTACATAAGCAGCCTCTGCAACTACTTTTTTTTTTTTCTTCTTCTTTTAGGTCTTTGTTGTGAATATATTGATCACACAACTTTTGCCAGTTCATCTTTTTGCAAGGAGCTCTGGTGGTATAGTGCTTAAGGCATTTGCCTGCTAAGCAGAAGGTTGGTGGTTCAAACTCACCAGCCACTCCATGGAAGGAAGAATGGGCAATAAATCTACTTTCATAAAGATTTACCACCTCAAAAACCCAAAGGGGGTCACTATGAGTCAGAATCAACTCAATGGCAGTGAGTTTGATTTTTTTTGTTTAACTTATTGGCAACAACTACAATAGTTGGCCATGCAATGTTACCCTTAATCAATCTGATTTTTCCATCATTATTAACCCCCATTTCTGCCTCCCTCTCACCCCTTGTAAGCACTAATAAACTCCGGTCTGTATAAAAAATAAATAAAAGAGTTAGATCAGCACCGATTTGGAAGGAGACGATGTAAGGTCAGTGACTGGGGAGAGAAAAGAAGCTGGGACTGGCCAAAGCATAGCCATTTTAAATATATCAGATGTGGAAGAGGAGGGGAAAAAAATTGCACTGAATCTACATGGCAAAAAAAGACACATTATAGACAGATCAGGAGAATTCAAGGTGAGCTGAAGTCATGTGGAAGCTTGGAGAGGAACATGCAGGGAAGCAAGTCAGACTTAGAGTGGAACAGGTGGCAATGAATGAGGAGGGAGCCAGAGAAAGGGAATTAAATAACTACCACTAGTAATTCAAACCAAATCCACTAGTATCTAGCCAATTCCAACTCATATGATCTCTTTGAGTTGGAGTAGACTTGCCTCCTGGAGTTTCCAGGGTTGTGGACCTTAATAGGCATGGACTGACTCATCTTTCTCTCAAGGTGTGGCTGGTGGGTTCTAACCACCAGCATTTTGTTTGGCAGCTGAATGCTTTAACAATGACATCACACTTTTGCGGTTTTTGTTAGGTGCTGTCAAGTTGGTTCTGACTCATAGAGACCCTATGTGCAACAGAGCAAAACACTGCCTGGTCCTGCATCGCCCTCACAATCTTTGTTATCCTTGAGCTCATAATTGCAGCCGCAGTGTCAATCAAACAGATTTGTATCTGTTTTCTCTACAAAGGAGAAAAGCCTATATTGGGGTGGTTGAAGAAGCTAGGCTCAGAATGATCTGTTGCTCCAACTGAATCAGCACAAGAGCCAGATAAATGGTTGTTTGTACCACAAAGCCAGAAGACTCATGTCAGTGAATTGAGATTGGAGAAATATGCTCCCTGGCATAACAAACACCTTCCCTGGATGCAAGGGTGATGTTCTTTCTGCCCCCTCTAGCAGACAGTCAGAGGATGAAGCTTGCCCACTTGGTGTCTACAACACTGAGAGATCTTTTTCACACTGAACACAAGAGGTACGCCTCTGCAGCCTCTTCTCTCAGAGGAGCTCATTCACACCAGGAACCTCCCACCTCTGCAAGAAGAAAGGCCTATACTGGGGCAGTTAGAAAAGGATAACCTTTTAGGAGAGTCTGGGAGGGAGCTGAATAACTGGCTTGTACCCAGAAGGGTGCCATATCCCATGGCAGTGAAACATGGATGGTGAACCACACTCTTCATTCCAAAAAGTACAGCTTCCCTATGAATATGGGCAAAATCTCTCCCTATCACCATTAACCTGCTGACTGAGGAAGTCCTGCCCAGATACTTCCTCTATAGCCTAGCCACCCTCAGCAATCTACTCCAAACAGACAGACCCACAGGCTGTAGCTCACCCTTCCTGTGCTGGCATCATTGGGTGATCTTTATCAGACTGAGCACAAGAGGCACACAACTACAGCCTTCTCTCTTGGAGATACTCATACTAAGGCTCCTTTCACCTCCATGGGCACATACCCCAGTAGATCAGCAGATTCCCCCAACAACCACCTGCTCCATGTCTGTTGACTGACCATAACTACAAAACTCCTTCCACCTTTCCTTTCCTCCTTGGTTTTATTTTATTTCATTTTATTTTTCTGCTCCATCAAAGGCAGGAGGACTTTAATTCCACACTAGTCAGCCATATCTACTGCAACAATCATCTCACCCAACAGACAAGCACCACCTTGACAAGCTCCTACACTGATGGGTCAATGAAACATAGTGGACAACACCTGCTCATCCCAACTGCAGGTCCTCTTCACAACCAAGACCCACACCCACATTCCCATTAATTATTCCCTAAAACTTGAGACAGCTGGGGAATGCCTCAGTGCTGCCAAACTAACAACCAAAGAAACACACCTGCCTCACACATCCAAATATATAGAAAGAAAACAAAACAAAAAACCAGGGTGAAACAAACAAGTGCGTAATCAACAAATGAAGACAACAACTTCCTTATGTCTCAGAGACAGCAGACAACTTCAATTCAAACCAACAAATAGGACAAGATAGTGGAAGCAAGTGACCAAACTAAAGAGCTAGGAAATATTCCTGAGGAAGAACAGGTGATAGAACTGCCTGATAAGGAATGCATAAGATAGATATACAAAAAAAAAAAAAATTCACTGCCTTTGAGTCAATTCAACTCAGAGAGACCCTTCCTTGGGGTTTAAAGGCAGTATCTTTACAGAAATAGATTGCCTGATCTTCCTTCCAAGGAGTGGCTGGTGGGTTTGAATGACCACCTTTCTGCTTAGCAGTCAAATGCCTTAGGCACTATGCCACTAGAGCTCTTAACAAAATAAATACACAAGTAGAATCATACAAAAGTAGCAATTAGAAATCCAGAAGATGAACGCTAAATAACAGAGTGTTCTGGTCACCTAGTGCCACTCTGACAAGAATATACCACAAATGGGATGGCCTTAACAAACAGTTTACTCTCTTACAGTTTGGAGGCTTTAATTCTAAGTTCAAAGTGCCAGCCTCCAGGAGCTGGGTGAAAGTCCCTCAACTTTGGGGTGAGCTTTACCTCCTGCTCCTAGCCCACTAGAACTAGAGGCATTTCTTCACTCAGACAGCTGCTGGCTGGTAAGGCTGAGAAGCCCAAGGTAGACAAATAAAAAGGCATAGTCCCAATGTTACCAAACCACACAGCAGGCTATTAATTTAAGTCTATTGTACGTCCCAAGGTTGGCAGAGCATGGCAGGCTGCTGAGCAATGACAGGGCTACATGCAGGGTCCAAGCATGTCATAAGCTAGAGGCCATTCCCTAGGCTTCTCCTTATATACAGGAAGCAGACCACATCCCAAAGGCAGCTACTCAGCTGCTTGTGGTAGATTCCACCATGGAGTTGATTGCCAGTCTCATCATAGGGTATAACTACCACCAGCTACCTAGCCACTCAACCAGGCCCAGCCAAGTTGACATACAACTTTAACTACCACACAGAGGTCAACACATTGGAAGTACAAAAGAGTAGAATCAAACTGGCTGAAGAACACATTTCCTAACAAAGAGACAAATTCATTGACATCACTTTTATGAAGAAAAATCATAAAAAAAAAAAAAAATGAAGTATGAAGAAAACCTAAGAGTAATAAGGGATGAATCAAAAGAAATAGGATATGCTTGATTGGAATTTCAGAACAAGAGGAGGAAAAAAAAAAAAAAAAAAAC